GAGCCAGAAGGGTGTCCTGGGTTTGGGCGCAAAGGGGAAGAGGAGGACAAGGGCTACCCCCAGATTAGCATGGCCTTGCCCTGCTGCCACTAGAGAGGTCTGGGGGCTCCATCTGCCCCGCCGCCATTCCCGCCGACCGCTCTGGGGTCCCGATGGAGTGCAGAGCTTTCCGGCGGGGGGCCGGCGGACTTCCCCCGCCGCGTTCACGCAGGCCCCGTGAAAACTGCGGGGCTGCGGGCAGCTCCTCCTGGGAAATGTAGTCTCTGCACTGAGCCCCGGCGCTCGGGAGGAAGCCTCGGAACCGAACCGCGGGCTGCGCTGGTGTGGGGAAGGGGTCTAGTGGATCTCTCCTCGCCGGCCCCTGTCGCTGTACCCGGACTCTTTGTTATTGTTGTTTTACTTGCTAAAAAGGTGTCTTGATTGGTATGAAGGTAAAATGAATTCCGTATGGGAAATGGTAAAACGTATTCAAATGCCAGGGTTGGTGTTTTTAGTCTTGGTGGAGGGGTGGGCGTGCGTACGTACGTGCGTGTGTGTATCAGCATTGTGGCGCTGCGGGTTAATGCCGTGGACCGCAAAGTTGGTTTGAACCGCAAAGTTGGCGGTTCAAACTCACTGCGGTTCAGGCTCCTCGGAAACCCTATACAGGGTCACTATGGGTCGGACCCAACTCGATGACGCTTAACAACAACAAACACATAACATCTACGTTTTTCCAAACAGGAGGTCTTGTTATTGTTAAATGCCATGGAGTCCGATGAACTCGTAGCGACACAGCAGAAGAAACACTGCCTGGTCCTGCGTCATACTCACAATTTTTGTTACACTTGAATCCATTGCTGATGCTTCTGTACATCCGTCCTATTGGGGAGTTTTCCTCATTTCCTACGGAGGCTCCTAATGGGTATCTGACAGACTTCCAAGCCTTTTCTGCTACAGTACATAATAAAGGTCTTATTTTTACTGACTTAATATGAGTCCGGCACTGGTATGGAGTCCTGGTGTGGCACTGTAGGATAAGCACTTGATTGCAAGGTTGGCAGTTCAAAGTCACTAGCTGCTCCTGGGAAACCCTATACAGGGTCCCTATAAATTAGAACCAACTCAATGGCACTTTACAACATACAACTTACTTATCTACTTAGTCTATTGCTTATTATCTGTCAGCTTTACAAGGGCAAGGATTTCATCTGTTTTGTTCTTGGTCATATGCCCAGTGTGTATACCAGTGCCTATTGTTGTCGTTAAGTGTCATCAAATTGGTTCCGACTCACAGTGACCCTGTACAGACAGGGTTTCCGAGGAATAGCTGGTGGGTTTGAACCACTGACCTTGTGGTTCAAACTGACCTTGTGTTCCAGATACTGTAACTTATTTGTTGTTACTGTTAGGTGCCATCAGGTTAGTACTGACTCACAGCGACCCTATGTACAACAGAACGAAACATTGCCCAGTTCACAGCCAACCTCACAATTGTTGCCACACTTGAGCCCATTGATGCTGCCACTTGGCCAATCCATCTCACTGGGGGATCTTCCTCTTTTTCTCTGACTCTCCACCTTACCAAACATGACATCCTTCTCCAGTGACTGGTCCCTCCTGACAATATGTCCAAAGTATGAGAGATCAAGTTTGGCCATCTTGGCCTCCAAGGAACACTCTGGCTGCACTTCTTCCAACACAAATCTGTTTGTACTTTTGGCAGCCCACGGCACTTTCAATATTCTCCTCCAATACCATAACTCAAAAGCATCAATTCTTCTACAGTCTTCCTTATTCACTCTTATTCACTGTCCAACTATTGCACACGTATGAGGTTATTGAAAATACCATGGCTTGGGTCAGGTGCACCTTAGTCATCAAGCTGACATCTTTGCTCTGCAACACATTAAAAAGGTCTTGTGCAGCAGATTTGCCTAATACGATAAGTCGTTTGATTTCTTGACTGCTGCTTCCATAAGTGTTGATAGTTGATCCAAGAAAAATGAAGTCTTTGAAAACTTCAATCATTTCTCCATTGCTAAGAA